CCCTAACTAAACTAAAGCAAAATGTACACAAGTTACAGTATTAATTTATCTCTTTATCGAATACAGGCCGTACTTAATAAAGGCTTAACTAATGTAAGGTCTAAGACAAGTTGACTTTATAGATTTCTGTGTCTGCGATTATAAATCTTTTGTATTATTCTAGAAATCTTATATTTAAAGAATTAATATTACAATAAAGATACTAATTTGACCTCATATGTTTTGCATGTCTCTCCTAGTTGTGACTTATTATACATACTCACGGAAAAAATAGTTGGTCTGATGATATCACTGATCATAATTTTGTGGCATTACTGCACGTTATATATTTCAGTATCGTATAATGGAGAACAACTGTTAGAAATTAAAGTATAATAAGTAACTATTCGCTTTCTCATCTATTAATCAAACCAGAAACGTTTATTTACATCACTAGCATACGAAATGCACTTTGATGGATGTACGATGCTAATTTATTCATTGAAGCTTGTAAGCAACTCGCCTGAGGGGCTGGATAGATAGCAAATTCAAGTTTGGACTTCTTGCCATAGTCCACGGAGAGCCTTTCCGTCAGTAGTGAGGTAAAACCAGATCCAGTACCTCCTCCAAAGCTATGGAAAATAAGGAAACCTTGCAGACCAGTGCACATGTCGGCGAGCCTGCGGATCCTGTCCAGCACAAGGTCAATGAGTTCCTTGCCGATAGTGTAGTGACCTCGGGCATAATTGTTAGCGGCATCTTCTTTGCCTGTGATTAGCTGCTCTGGATGAAACAGCTGACGATACGTTCCAGTCCTCACTTCGTCTGGAGAGCACAAATAAATTATATCAGCATTTTTTAAAACTTTAATCTGAAGCATACACAAATTAAACAACAAAAAATATTTCCTAATCACAGAGCATAAAATACAAAGACTTACTTACAAACTGAAATAATGTATCACGGTTTACGTATAATTAACATAAAGTAGTTAACCTGTCCAATAAAAATAGTGGGTTAATGGCAGTTCATAAGAACTATTTGACAATATTAATACAGTGGCGTAACGCTACAAGTGCGGGATGTGGTGCAACTGGTGTCATGTATAGCACCTATATATTTGTTTCACAACAAAGTCCTGACCGTTCGAGAATATTGCTATGAGGAGACTTATGATTCGATTGATATAAAAAAGTTTGTCCTGGGAGAAATATTCGTACAGTGAGCTTGTTAAACGATGTAGAACCAAAGGACATAACGCTTTGAGGAAAGGAATGTTTATTGTTCTCCATTGAAGCAACGTCCTCATCCACAAAGTGAAGGCTACAGTTACGAAAAAGAACCCTCCATCTTAAAAAGCCGTAGTGATGAAGCTGTATGTTTCTTCGAGATTAATAAGTCAATAAACCAAGACCAAAAATGGGAAACGGATTACAAGCTCGATGTTTATAAGCTTCCAGCCATACCTTGAACACAGTTGCTGTTTCCACCAAATATGGCCGAAGAAACTGGAAATCACCACAATATCATTCAACCAAGAGAACTAAATCCTCCATTGTAGCTTCAATAGGTTTTGTGGCTTTAATCTGCTTAGGTGCAGTCCTGGAATCCAAAGTACAATTCAATAGATAATCCTTCTCAGGAACTTGTTACAATAGAAATTGCGGTGTTGAGCAATTGTGTGTAATCACAGCCATCAGACTGAGTACGATCTACGACAGAGGAAATAGTTTCAAGGGCAACATATGACCTGAAACATGGTTCCTGCAAATTGTAGTTAAACCCTTATGGTAATGCTTACCTACAAGTAATAACTATCTAATACCTTGTACTTGAGAAATAAATGTTTGCTTTGACAGAAGTTTGTGACGATTATATGCAATACTATTATATCTTCAGCATCAATGATGCTTTAATGCACACTACTGTAGTATTAAACTAAGCTGTTACTGTTGTCTCCACGTAGTTAAGGGTTCACAAAACAGAAATATAACACGCGGTAACAATTCAATTAAGAGAAAACAAATATGGCCATTACATATTTGTTAAGGAGCATGAATGAGGTAATGGAATGAATCTGTAGCTTCGGACTCTATACAGCAAAATAAAAATAAGAGAGTAAATGACAACCTCATATTTATTCCGAACCCAGATACATGACTCCTCGAACTTCAATGTGATAGCACAATGAGTATTGGACGTATCTGCTACGACGTGGAACCAACAGTAACAGGTAAATCTAATTTTATCTGGTAAATATGTGCACCGAGTCTTGTTTGTAGACGTGGAACAAACATACAAACAAGACTTGGTGCACATATTTACCAGATAAAATTAGATTTACCTGTTACTGTTGGTTCCACGTCTACAAACAAGGCTTGATGCACATGTTTACCAGATAAAATTTTACTTACCTACTACTGTTGGTTCCAAGTCCACAAACACAGCTCGAGGAACATGTTTACCAGCTCCAGTCTCTGAAAAGAATGTATTGAAGGAGTCATCACCGCCACCAATGGTTTTGTCACTAGGCATCTGTCCATCGGGCTGGATTCCGTGCTCCAAGCAGTATAGTTCCCAGCATGCATTGCCAATTTGAACTCCAGCCTGGCCAACGTGGATACTAATACACTCTCGCTAGAAAAAAAAAAAACACCACCGCCATCTATTACTCAGGTTAAACGCAGTAAAGCACCAGTGTACGACCTGTATCAATCTAATTATTTTGTCGTTTATGACGAACGTTTTTTTGTATGTATATATGTAAAGATAAGGCAGACACGATGTGATTGAAATGCTATTATATATATTCTTCTTCTCATACAAACTAAGAAAACGTATAAAGAAAGTTGTGTTTAAAAATACAATAGGCCTAATACTATCGGCTTTTGATAAATATCATTGATTTTAATCATGTTTCACAGCATAAATCATCCACACAATAACAATTATTACAACAATTGTTATATTATTATGTATATAATTAACAATGTTGTCTGTTCCTTTTTTTTTGTTACCTATTGTAATTCCTCATAATTTATTTCGGGAAAAATAGTTATTCATATTTTCAATGAGTATTTTCATTTTATGTTAGAGTATTTATCATGTTATGGACTAAGAGATTTAAGCTCATTTTTGTTATGAAAGCTGACACTTTGCTACTTGTACAATTAGTGTTAGTAAACGATCGATTAATAAGTAAACTCACCTGCAAGCTGCAAAAGAAACTTAATTCAAATCAAACTATTCTTTAGAAAAAAAGGTTCGGTTGCACCAACGTTAAACAACAAAGAATTCCACAACTTTTTAACGCATAAGCGTTTTCTTTTTTATACGGCAGGATATGGTCTATTGGTTATTGTGCTCGAGCTATGAATTTGAGGGTTCATGGATTGCATCTCACTGCCATAAAAACCACATTTTGGGGGCGTAGGTTCAGTATAAGAGTGACAATCAAATCTTATTATTAGGTACAATAGTATCTCAAAGGTTGGCGGTGGATGTTGCTGTGTGCAATTATCCTTTTATGTAGCTTCGAAAATTATGAAACAGACAAAGAAAGTTATTTTTTATCATTGGACTGTTTTTTATTATTTCGAGTGACAGCGACATGTGTATGACCAGTTCCTGGTAAAGTGTGGGGTGCGTTACAGTACGTATCATTTTATCAAGGAAGTTTACAAACAATGGAGTGACCTCTCGAGGGGGAAGTGGGTAATCAGCAAATGGCAAAAAAAGTGATGAACGCGTAACCGATTTACACTTAATAACATTTTTAAACTAGTACAGTGTAAGCTATAGCAAATTATCCAGGATATTTCAACTATATAAGCAATTGTTATACGTAGATTTAACCCTTGGCTCTCCCTGGTGGAATGATCATCACTTTCAATTCACGTTCTGTTTCTACTTGATGTTTTAATTGTGTAAAACTCAACCTACAAGAGTATTTCAAGAACAAGTCGACGAGGATTGTGATTAAGATTCAAATATTTCACGATTATGTGTATGAATGGTTGGGCTGGTTGGTGAAAACCCTGAGTTTTATTATTCTCTCCATATTTCGCTATTTTTAACATTTTGATAAGGTTCTTTTGTATTCTCATCCAAACACTTTCGCAGAGCCAATCAAGCTATGACAGTTTACCGTGTGTAGTTTCTGTATAACTAAGGCCATTTGGTTTTAATAAAAATTAATTATTTAGATAATTCTATTTTTAGACATTGGCTTATGCATAAACTAGTTACACTAATATTGGATGCAAATGAACCAACTTTATAGCACGTAGTATACTAATTTGACTCGTTATTATAAAAAATATATAATTTGGGAGAATACGATGCCCTCTTTGTTGTTTTTTTTCTAACCTAACTGTTGATATGATTGGTTTATTTCAGAGTTTTCATGTAAAGCTATATGAGGGTTATCTGCTTACGCATAGCCGTCCTTCATTTGAAATTGATAGACAAGAGGGAAGGCAATTAATCAACAGCACCCACCGTCAACTCTGGCTTGCGCTAGTCTTGTCTGACCGAATAATGGGGTTTGAACATCATTCAAGGTTCCAACGTTCGGAGCGCGTTTCATCAGCAATGGGCTGTAGATCACAAATCTCCGGATTCTCACTCAGAGCACGCGCTCAATGATAATGTTTAATTGTTATGATATAATCCCAGCTAACAGTCAGCTGACTTACTGTAGCGGTGCTTTTTCAGTCCTCCTCCCAGAGGCGGGCGAAGGCAGGTATGTGCAGAGTTTCTAAGTTTAAATTTCTGACAAGCAATTTGTTATGGTTATAGAGAAGGGCTTAATATGTCTTATGAACCTATTACTGTCAAGGTTAACCAACCACGTTTGTTTGACTATCATCATTCACGAGTTATACGCGTGTTCAGTGCAACTCTTGAACAAATAATGTGTAATTTTCTAGGTGAATTCCATACACACTAAATGTGGCTGATGTAAAACAAAAAAAAACATTTGTAACACAGGTATATTTTACTGTAAACTGTGGACTAAGGTTAAAAAAGCTTTTAATGTTTGTTTTATTTTTTAAGAAGCAAATAAATTACATATCTGAGAAAGTTTGTTTATAATTAAGCACAAAACTATACAATAAACTATCTTTTCTGTGCCCACCACGGTATCGAAACCGTTTTTAGCATTAGAAGCCCACAGACTTACCGCTGACCCACGGCGGACGATCTGAGGAAGAACTTGTTTTTTATATGAAAATACATATTGCATCGATATATTTATTTATTATGTAAGATTATACGATTTCAAATCTGAGCTAACCGGTTGTCAAATCGTACCAAAAAGAAAAAAACAAACAAAAAATTGACAAGTCTGACTTTTCCGTTACGCTGTGTGAACGTAGAGTGTAGCATAGCTGGCCAACGCCCTATCTTCGTTTTTTGTTGGAGGCAATTTTCGTTAGTTTGAAGCAGCAACGGCGCAGCAGACGACAATTGTTTTCCGCCAGCAGAAGCAATTATTTTCACGTGGTCATTTCAGCGTGTCCGCCTACCTACCTTCCTTTGTTTCGAAACACGTATAATACGGGCTCGATGGTGCACGTGACATCAACCATGAAGCGTTCTCACGATGACATCGTGCATTTTCCACGTTCTTCAATGTTTTCAAAACTGTTTTTATGGATTCGGTTGCTGTTTAATACAATGCAGCATAGAAGAGGAATTGACTTAAAATACACCCAAATAGTTTTTTTTTGCTATTATTTTCTTTCAGTTCTTGACTACAAATGTGGAAAGGAAACGTTAAGAATGTTCCTGTAAAATGAACACATATTTTACAGTTACCGTTCCATCCCTACAGTAATGTGCAAACGTACGAACAAGAAACGTGGTTTTTCATGATAAAAACTTCCTACTGTGGAAATATAATCATATGTTCTTACACAAAACACCCGATGTTCTGAAATAGCACGTTTGTACGTATAATTTCATACAAACAGTGGTGCCCCCTAAGTATTAGAAGAGCTCTTTTTAACAAATTGATCCCATCCCTAAGCTACAGTTGGAGGTTAACAGCCTACAGACGAAGCTTTATTCTTATTTGTCTTAACTCAAACCTACACAATGAGCTCTCTGCACTCTGTCCACCGCGAGGAATCGTACCTCGTATTTTAGCGATCTGCATCCATAAACTTAGAGAGGACCCACCGGGGAACCTTTAGCGAAACAATGGAGCTATAAAAATGGATGAAATAAACCATTCACAAATTGCGTCATTATAATAAATAAATAAAAAGTGTGGAAATATTTTCTAAAACTTTTGTTTACAAATATGCTTTCAAATTAAAACTTACAAACTTAAATCAGTCATTTGATCTTTTGCTACATATTTGTGGATAATAAAGTGTTCATACATTAAATGAAACATATTTTGTTGATTAATTATGGCCGAAACTGAGGACACGCCTTTGTTTTTCATGTAGTTGAACACAGGATAAAAGGTAGTTGTATTATCTAAATTATCATACGAAAAAGGTTTGTGTAAGAACGTCTGAAGTACATTATGAGTAAGACTGATAAACGACAGGCTTGTCATACATATTAAGGGTACTGGAAAGTAATGTCGTTTGTTTGTTTTTTTACCTTATGAAGTAAAATATCTTTTTAAAGGTGGGTATTTACTTTTCAATCAGTTACATGATCTTCATTTTTGTTAATGACAATGTGCCATCTTCCAATTCCTCGTTGATATAACGTTTGTTTGTTTGTTTTGAATTTCGCGCAAAGCTACACGAGGCCTATCTACGCTAGCCGTCCCTAATTTAGCAGTTTAAGACTAGAGGAAAGGCAGCTAGTCATCACCACCCACCGCCAACTCTTTTACCATCGAATAGTGGGATTTACCGTCACACTGTAACGCCCCCACGGCTGAAAGGGCGAGCATGTTTGGTGGGACGGGGGTTCAAACCCGAGACCCGCAGATTGCGAGTCGAGCTCCCTAACTACCTGGCCATGCCGGGCCGTTGATAGAAGAAAGCTTCCTTTGATACAAAGATTTCTGCAAAAGCAGTTTTGATGTCATCAATATTTCTGAAAATGTTATCGCTGAGAAACTGATGCATAGATCTGAATAAATGGTAATCTGAAGAGGCAATGTCAGGAGAGTATGGAGGGTGAGGCAGGACTTCCCAATCAAAATCTCTGATATTGTTCTGAGGCATTCATGTAGAAAAGGTCTCACATTGTCATGCTACAGAATGACCCCTTTTCTGTTGATCAGTGCTGGACGTTTTTCAACGAGAGCCTGATGCAAACAGTCCAACTGTTGACAATAAAGATCTGTAGTTATATTCTGATTCGATTTCAATAACTCAAAGTGAACTATGCCGACTCTGTAGAAACGTTTGAATTTAAGGTAACAAAAACGACATCACTTTCCGGTACCCCTAATAGAAGCATGATGAAATTTTTTATTCCCACAGTATTTTGTCATTTGGTTAAGATGACTGGTCAACATTCAAATTGCCAGACTCATGAGTTTAAACTTAAGAAGTAAACACACTTATAAACCTAAAATAACGTAAATTGCATATATATATATATATTTCCACATTCCTTTTAATTTGTCCATTTCGGATTTCAATGTGTAAAAACAAGTATTTCAGATTTATATTTTGTCTCTCACAAGAGAACTCTCGTTCAGTGTCATAACTCGTCTGTTGGAATAGAGTGTCAATGAGAGATGAAAGAGATTCTTTGAAACGTTATTTATACGAGTCCCGGTATTGAACGCAAGGCGTTGGCCAGTAACATTTGTGGGAGATAAAAGATAAATCTCAAACGCTATTTTTACTACACTTCTTATTTGGAATGGATAAATTGATGAGAGAAAAAAAATCTGTGTGATTTTCATGATAAATTTTAGGCCTGGTGATTTCTAACGCTTCGCCGGTTTCCGGCGTTTAAACCTTAACATCCTTCACTTAACCCCGCATACGTCATAACGTCTCCACCCTACGAGCTTAGTAAACCAAGCATGCAAGCTTTCAATTTCATCATATACAGAGGACAATATCGATTGTTTTCCCACATGTGGACTGCATGAAGGGTTCTCCCAAGTAGCTATATGCAGGATCACGTGGTCTCGGCTAGTAACTTGCACGTGTAATAATTGATCTGTTTGAAAGTATGAGTCATCAAAAGCACACAGGTGAATGACTCACCACCATTAAATATTCGTGTAAAAACAACTCATTGTCTTGAATTATGTGTACAATATACACAAAACACGGCTTAATTAATCATCTGAACGTTATAGTAAACGATACATCTGGAAACAACTGAAATTTTAATGGCGCCACTACCATCCCGCTCAACATAAATTTTCTCTCCTTCAGAATAATTCCTTCTCGAATCTAGACTTGTGATTCATTAAGACAAAGCATTCTTCATTTCTTGCTTGTAAAGTATCTACCTAAAATCCTTAGAAAATAACGAGTCAAAAGCTAAGCCTATATGTATTTCTAAAACACAATATGTCTACTAACTACAGAACACTGAAGTCGCTGTGTACAAATAAAATTAAAAGTAACAAAGAAGTCAGATATATAAATATTTTATTTGAATTGTTATGGAAACTTTTTCTGCCTATATTTACAGAATATAAAGAAATTTAAATATCATAAAATTAACAAACAAGCAGATACGTAACAATACATTATCAACGTGTTATATGATTCTGAATTACGGGCTATTATATTTGAAAGCTGTTCAATTGTATGTTATGTACGATTTATTTGCCGGTATAAATTCTTTCCAAAGAACTTCAGCGATACAAGTCCTTTCTTAATTAGAACTAGTTTATTCTTTCTCAATACAACTTTGTGATACACAGAATTTCCACAGTCACTTTAAACGTTAACAACCTTTATAACACACGCTATATCACAGTGATTCACACACTTTACTTACGGTGCCTACTGTTCACTTGACTCAATTATCTCTATCTTCAATCTATCTGCATCTCTTCAATCAATCCTCCCGCAGGCTTTATCTGCCAGGCTTATATACTATAAAAGGGGGCGTCCCGAACGCACTAGGAAATTCACGATCATTCGAGAAATGCGCCAGCAGCGTCACGTGACTTCCGCTGTCGTAACAGTATTGAAAATGAAAGCCATATCTTGTTACGCTGTTAAACAAACTCAAATTACGTATTTTACACGTACGTGTATAAGAGCACGATCAGAAAGTTTATCACGAAGTCTTAGAAAATCTAACCCTTAACTCACGCTGTCATGAACTGAAAGATTGTTGTCTACTTATTTCAAGTTTAATTATAAAAGTGATAGGATTTTCAAGTATAGTATCTCATGTTGCTGTTATACAAATCCTAACCTTTTTAAGGCATTTGGTAAGCTGCTAATGTGTGATGTATCAAAATATATTGTTACGTCTCCGTTTGTTAATTAACTTTCCGTAACTTCGTTCCGACGAAAC